GACGGAGAACAAGTTGTACGAATTTGGCCTCCGGGTGGGATATTATCCAGTGAGTTATCAACTGAAAAGGTCATGACAGGCTCCTTTCCATGTACCTTTTTAGAAGATAAAGAAATAAAGCCTGGGTAAAGACGGCTTGGAGGAGGGGCAACTCTTTTTTTCCTTTTGCTTAACATTGTGTGTGTGTGTGTGTGTGTGTGTGTGTGTGAATAGTAGCCCACTAAAATTAAGCTAAATTATGGCTATCTTTATGTGCCTATCATCACGAATACGGATATAAACTTTTGTGGATAGAAGATGAAGATAGATAGATAGATAGATAGATAGATAGATAGATAGATAGATAGATAGATAGATATGAACAGTCTGTGTTAGATCGATAGATAGATAGATAGATAGATAGATAGATAGATAGATGGCCGCTCCCTCGATGATAATGTTGAAAAATTCAAGGCTCAACCAAGACCATATTGGTAATTTGATCAAATTTTACGAAATGATCGGGCCTAGTTTGCAGCATCACCCTCGTGGCACTTTCTATACATATAATGACCATTTAATTTTTGATAAATTAATTTTAATACCTTTTCTTCTCACTCCCCAAACACGCACAGGTCAATTTACTTTGTTAGGTACACTCTTCTAGTATCGGATTGGACGCCGTTTTAGCTTTACAGCCGCCTTCAATACTTCACATGGATTCGATGATAATCTTGAAGCACTCTTTCAAAATGTTGATCCAAACTGTTATTATAGCATCTCGCATCACGAGGTGGTGAAATGGTTAGCAAGCTTGTCCCGCCAGAACAATTACGACTGATTAATGAGTTCGATTCGATCCTCCCATACTGGCCTTGTGCCCTGAGCATACTTTCCCAGGCACCTTGTGAACAATTACGACTGAGTAATGAGTCTGAGCTTGTGCCAGATATGAGCTACGCCCAGAAAATCCCGACTGAGTAATGAGTTCGATCCTCGATACTTTCGGCCTTGTGCCAGATCTGAATTGGTTAGGGCACCTGACGCCGTGTAATGGTTGTCCCGCTAGAACAATTACGACTGAGTAATGAGTTCGATCCTCACTGGGTGCCCCATACTTTCGGCCTTGTGCCAGATCTGAGCTACGCTTGGAAAATCCCAGGGCACCTCGACGCCGTGTAATGGTTAGCAAGCTTGTCCCGAAAATCACTGAGTAGTGAGTTCATCTCGCATTTACGCTTGAAAATCACAATAGTCTCGCATTTGTTGACTACATGTCCTGAATTCGAATCTCCCGTTGCAATATATCCTAAATGTGCTCACTAGTGCCGATGACTGTGGGAGAAAACTCATTATTGTGTTCCATGAGCACCAATCTGCCATTATTTCTTATTTGTAATACAGTGGGTTGTCCTGCCAGGAGTAGCAATCTGAGGACATGCGCACTGTAGTCATAAACTTAGGCACGTGATCAGCCACAATACATTAGTAGGCTTTATTGGTACTACCGGTCCCAATACATGCTTTGATTTGTTTGTTTAACGGCATATCAACGTCTTATGGGTCATTTAAAGCCAAAATTAAATTTTCTTGAGAGGTTTGAAGTAATAAAAATGTGATATATGTTATTCTGCTTTCACAATTGAATACATGGTAGATGATACTCAACTTTTGTGCATATACACGAACATGATAACTAGAGGTGGTGATATGTGTGTTCTATGTTGTAGTTTTGGAATTTTATATTTTGGAATACAGTTTGATTTCTTCAAGAAATTATATATATATATATATATATATATATATATATATATATAAACTAATGCCATGAAAGAGTTCTTTCATGTTGGTTGTTTGGTTGTTTAGTGGCATATCAACACCTCTATGGGTTATTTAATGCCGAAATCTAAATATTTTGAACACAATTTTATGTCTTCAACTAAATATATTTTGATCGCAATTGTATGCTTTCAACTACAGATAAAATATATTGTTGGTCATTTTGCTATAGCATGTATTGTTGGTAATTTTTATATAAAAATGTATTGTTGGTATTTTTACTAAAAAAATATCTTTTTATAGTTTCATAGTGTTTTGTTTATATACGAGGGTTCATTATTTGCCCAAATTTGGAAACCAAACAGGTCAGGGTGGACCTGAGAACAACAGTAATTAAGAAGTGGTTCCACTCTCCTGAAAACATCAAAACTCCCGACCAGAGATCTTTCTGCTGAATGTAGTTTATCGCCATACCCAGGACTGCCCGATGTATGTTAAGAAAATATTCCTCCATACAATTACATCACCACTACCAGCCTGAACCATTGATAGAAGGTAGGATTGATTCATACTTTCGTGTTGTTTATGCCACATTCTGGCCCTACCATCCAAATGGTGGAGCAGAAATTGAGATTTGCCAAACAATGCAACGTTTTTCCAGTGTTCTATTGTAGCCCAAGTTCATGGTTCTTATCTTACAAGAGTAGGGTAGCTCTCGGTAGTGTAATGGTTAGCAAGCTTGTCTCGCTAGAACAATTACGACTGAGGAATGAGTTCGATACTCACTGGGTCCCTTACACTTCTGGCTTTTTGCCACATCTAAGCTAAGCTTAGAAAATCACCTTATCTGACACCCGGCATTCTCTTCTAATGCTGTAGCTCATCTGCTTCAAGGCTCGACGCGTTGCGCGCCCAGAGATACTCTTCTGAGTACATGCGTTGTAAAGAATGGTTATTTATGCTACATTTTCTTTTCTATCACCTTGAACCAGGCTGACCATTCTCGACCTCTTTCATCAACAAGGGATTTCCGCTCACTGCAATTTTTCTTCTTTATCTGATCATTCTCCATGTAACCTAGAGATGGTTGTGCGTGAAAATCCTAGTAGATCTGTAGTTGGTGAAATACTTATACGCGTCCGTCTGGCACCAACGACTATGCTGCATTCAAAGTCACTTAAATTACATTTCTTATCCGTACTAATGCATCAGACGAAATTCAGCAGGTCACCATGACCGAGATTAAATCCATTAAAGTGCTCCTACGTCATTGGCTGGTTCGAAAACAAAAGAGCATTTGTGCACGTGTACTTAATTAAGTGGCCAATGTGTGCGTAAATTATATATATATATATATATATATATATATATATATATATATATATATATATATATTAATCATTTCAACCGAAGCAAGTAATAATGACACGAGGGTGCTGGTGGGGGGTACAGGAAGTGAAAGAGAATGAGAGGAATTTAGCGAGGAGAAGTGAGGAAATATATATACATATATATATATATATATATATATATATATATATATATATATATATATAATGCCAATTGTTAATTGGTAAGGATAATTCCAAGGAGGTCATTAATCCAAGTCAATTTCAGTCTGAAGAAATAAGTATTTAAACATACTCATGAAATAAATTATAACCGAAAAAAGTTTGTCAATTAGCTGATTGATGATCCCGACTCCAGGGTTTCGTAGACGGACCCGTCCGTCCACTCGTCAGTGGGTATCAACAATTGACTGCTTATATTATTTCTTTTTTCTTTTTCGTTTCCCCGTCTAGGTACTAACCGGGCTCGAGACTGCTTATCTAAGGTGATCGAAGAAAACCGTACCTCGAGTTAAACCAAATCTTTTGAGTTAAATTGAGAAGACGAAACTTGATTGAAGGGTTGGGCGTACTGACCTTCCTCAGTTATCAATCATCCTACACGCAAGCCGCTAGTGGCCCGCTGGTGGGCCGTCGATGGCAACGCCAGTAGTCTTCTGGTAGCAGCTACCGCCGGTAGGCCTCTAGCGGTTCGCCATTCGTAACATTGCCGAGACGAACACACCGGCGGTACGACAGCGGGATACCAGCAGTAATCGCTAGTGGCATGCCATCCAGTGGCAGATTCGTGGCTTGCGTGTAGGGCACGCCAGAGTATGCGCTCTGTCTCAGAAACTGTAAGTAAAGTCCGCTCAATATAATATAATTTTCAGTAAGTGTCTGGTAGTAAAATTAGTAATTATTTATTAATTACAGTAACGTTCTGACCAGGAAATAGTTGTGCTAGCAGGAATTCTCAAGTCATCGTGACTGAGTATTTGAGTGTGCTGTGTTCAAAGACTTATCACTTGAGATTGTACGCCTTCTCACAGAAAACGTAACTAAGGTCCTGTAACTATAAATCACTCGTTGGCTCATTGGGTGTTGACGAAACACAAATGTACCTGAGCAAGCGTCTGTAACATGAATTAGCTTATCACCCTAATAGACGGACATAGTCGAAAACTAGTAACCAGCCATTGGTTATTTACTTAATTAGGTGCCTACTTTGATTGATCTCACCAGTTCACTGTTTCGAACCTTGAGAGAGACTACTAGATGAAGCTGCGCTTAGTAAGTGGAGCCACAAGGGGAACTTAGAGGAAGAATAAATTGCTCGACATTAGCCGTTGAGCAGTTCAGAATAACAGGCAATTTCTCTTCAGGTGATCAAGGTTCTCCACAGCTTCTTTATTATCTGGGAGTTGTCATGCATTCTTGGGAGATATAGTGTAGTTGTTTCTCATTGCTTTCTCCCTGATTTGGAATTGAGAGTTGCCCTTCTCTTAGACTGGTTGCCAGCCAAGGCTGTAGAGTCCAGTTGACCCCGCTGTTTAATCCATAGTTAGGAGATTAAAGCCGTATTTATATTCCATTGCTTTCACTACAGTTTGGAATTGAGTTTTCTTTTTCTTAAAACAATCCTCCAGATCTACAAATCAACAATTCGTCCTTGCATGGAGTATTGCTGCCATATATGGTCTGGAGCTTCTTCTGTTTGCCTCGGTGTTCTTGATAAGCTCCAGAGGCAGATATGCAATATAATTGGCCCTGCTCTGGCATCTCGTCTACAGTCACTTTCTCACAGACGCGCCGTCGCCTCTCTCTGTCTTTTTTACAAATACTTTCATGGTAATTGCTCCGAGGAGTTGCATTCGCTGGTTCCCAGACTCCATGAATTCAAGCGCCCTACGAGGCTGGCATCCCGCTCTCACCCTTTCACTGTAGAAACTCCTAAATGTAGCCGTCTCTTCTACTCCAATAGCTTCATTCTTAGACCTCTCGCCTGTGGAACTCCCTTCCTTATTCCAGTTTCCCCGAGAGCTATAATCTCCAACTATTCAAATGTAAAGTCAATCGACATCTCCAGTTGCCTTGATCTATCCACTACCCTTCTCCTCATCCTTTCTTTTATCACTCCTATCTGATCTTGCTCGAAATTTGTCTGTAACCCCTTGCGTCCTAGTGGCTATTCGCAAATCTATCCCGCATATTTAACAGACAACTGGAGTGTAAATCCAGATTCATATTTCCCAATGATATTAGTGCGAAAGAAACAGTCTACCTAAAAATTCGAACTCGGTTCTCTGATTCCGTTTTCCGCGCTGTTATCCGTTACTCTACCCCCACGGTTTGAAGATTCTATACGAAGAAATACACGAATCGGTCATTAATTTGAAATCAGATGTAGTTATAGCAAGTTTGATTTGGATTATTGTCGGGGTTTAAATTAGGGATATGATTCAGGTAGCTGACAGCTACAATCTTGGTCTGTGCTAGGATCAAAGTGTAGTATCTGCGCTTTGTGAGCTGCCGGGTCGGTGTCGTCGAACTCTCTGCTTGCAGAGAGAACCCGGACGATGCTCCGCCGAAGGGTCATCCCGCTTGGACGGGTTTAGATATCTATACTACTAAAAAGTCCTCATTCAATTCCTGTGGGTGAATATCTTCATCTTTGTGAGCTGCTTCCTCTCTCCCCGGACGAGGCTCTGCCGAAGGGTAGGGTTTCGTTCTCAACTAGCCTGCTTGGACGGGTTTAGATGGGTTTTAGGCTGAGCCTACGGGCCTCTACCCACATTAAAAAGGCCTTGTGCCACATTCAATTCCTGATTTGTGACCAGTAAAGTCCAGGTCATCCGATATCTATACTACTGGATATATTCCCCTCTCTCCCTTACAATCTCACTCAGTAACACTCTAGCTTGAGTGACCATTAGGATTTGTACCAGTAAAGAGTAAGGTGGAATAATGGATAGCCCCTCGGATTGAGGAATCTGAGAGCCGAGTTCGAATTCGAGTCGAATCCATTACATTCGTGCTAATGCCCTTGGGAAAGGTATGAATCCTCCTCCTCATATATATATATATATATATATATAAATATAAATGATGCAGTATAATTAATATTATAATGAAGTATTCATACAAAGAATAAATCAGTAAAGTTAATGCAATTAATAGCGAATTCACTTCGCTAACAGATTTAATAAAGTATTACTAACCACTCGATGAATGAGGCGATCCTTGTTTTTAAAATTTGTAAAATGGAGTAAATGTTCCGTCAATGCTAAATGTAATACAGGTCGAAATATGTTTTTTTTTAAGCGTATTATTATTAACAGTTACAAAATCTTTCAACCTGTATTATATTTTTATTTTCGTCTTGGATGTTACCTAAAGTTATCTGAAAATTAAAGAAATAATATCCATGCCTAATGATGATAATAGAATTGTCGAAAGTACTAGCATATCTACGGAACATCTAATCCATTTTACAATTTTTAAAAACAAGGATAGCATCATTCAATGAGTAGTTAGTAAGTTAATACTTTATTAAATCTGTTAGTGAAGTGAATTCGCCATTAATTACATTAACTTTACTGATTTATTATTTGTATGTCTACTTCTTTATAATATTAATTATACTGTACCATTTAATAGATTTAAAAGGACTGATCTGCAGTACAAATTTCTGGAAAACTACTATTACTCTAATGAATGGACCATTTAGTGCATGTCATGTTAACTGAAGAAAAAAAATTCATGGAATTGCCATATTACTATATTCAAAAAATGTCCTCACTTAAAATATTCAAAATACAAGTCTAATGTTGCAACACTGCATGCTCCAAATTGTGTAACTGTTAATAATAACACACTTTAAAAAATCTTTCAACCTGTATTACTTTATTTTTGCCTTGGAAGTTACCTGAAGTTATCTTAAAATAATAATAATAATAATAATAATAAAACAATGCCTGATGATGATAATAGAATTGTCGAAAGTACTAGCATATCTTCGGAACATCTAATAATCCATTTTACAATTTTTAAAAACAAGAATCGCGTCATTCAACGAGTGGTTAGTAAGTTAATACTTTATTAAATCTGTTAGCAAAGTGAATTCGCCATTAATTGCATTAATTTGACTGATTTATTCTTTGTATGACTACTACTTTATAATATATATTATTATTATATATATATATGTATAGTCCAAAGAAGAGACAAGCGAAACTCGGCACGTGATCTTTTTCTGGAATATTTTATGGCCTAAACGAATCACATGTGCCGAGAGAAAGACGGCGGAACAAAAGAAAGAAAGTTGTAGTCGTAGTGGAGGGAAACGTTGATCAGTCGAATGGTAATGAGTATTCGAGCATCTGCCAAGGCGAAGGAAAGGGAGAAACGTCATAAATAATAATCCTAGGTAAATAATTAGTAATAATTGTACTGGTGGCGGGGGTGGAGGACTAAGCGTAGGTTAGTTGTGGCACAAGACCGAAAGTATGGGGTACCCAGTGAAGAATAGTAATAATTAGTAATAGTAATAATTATATAGAGCGTGAATATCTGGAAATCAGTTGATGTATTGTAGCTGTACCGATGGAGGTATTTACTAAAATTAGTCTAGCGCCAAGAGGGTTACTCGGTGTGGATCGAACTCGTTACAGTAGTAGCCTAGTTTTAGTAAGTTGATTGCACGGCGGGGGGAATAGTAATGTAATAAACTTAGTCTGTCACAAGGCCACAATTATAGGGCACAAAAGAAATCGTTATGGCTTTTATGTTGATTACACGACGATCGGACCAGCAACTTAATAAGATTACTTAGACTGGCACAAGACTACAATTATGGAGCATTAAAAAGAATCGTAGTGGTCTAGTGTATTGATCACATTCAGAGGATCAGTGATTTAATAAACTTAGCCTGGCGCAAGGCCATCATTGTAGAGCACAAAAATAATAATAATGATTCAGTAGAGTGATGATATGGCTAGGGTCGGACCAGTAATTTAATAGACCTAGTCTGGTGCAAGGCCACAATTAGTAAGCGCAAAAAGAATCGAAATGGTCCAGTAGACTGATAACACGGTCATGTAACCTATCATGTAACAAGGCATAAGACTATGAGGATGAGACACTAAAAATAATCGCAATGAAAACTGATGACATAGTCAGGGGAGCAGTAATTAAATAAATGTAGTCAGGCACAAGGTGACAGTTATTGAACATAAAATGATGAAATTTATTCCAGTAATGATATTATAATAGATTGGCTTAGTAAGATTTAAAGCTTGTCTCAGTCTAAGAAGATTCGTAAAGCCCCTAGTGAGGATCAAACTCACTAGACTTATCAATTGGTCTGCAATCCTGGTTGATTATCATTAACTGCGCGGTGCCATTGTGCTGGTGTGAGGACATGTGATTGCAAAAACTTGCCCTAACCAAACAGACGCGAAGTTCTTATAATATTCAAAAGAATTGCGACCTGATTATATTTTATGTTTTTTTTTATGTCAATTTCTAAAGACAACAATAAATGTTTGTCATTAAACAATCAGGCAGACATTAAAAAAACACACACATGATGACACTATTCGGCTAAGCAAGTGTAATCTTTATAGTATTTAATCAGCCATAGCGTTTAAACACAAAAGAAAAAAAATCAGTAATGGTTAACTACATATAGTTTTTGCCTTACCAGTTGCGCACTACGGATGATAATCTCAGAAACAGATGAAAAGTACTTGGGAAATAAAAGTAATTCTCACTGTTATAGTGCATATCTTGCCTTATTTAACTGTAATATACGGAAAAATATTCGTGAATATGAAAGGATTATGATAAAAATAAGCAAGCATAATGTTTGTAATTTATTCAATCAAACATGTCTAAAAGAGAATTTGCTGCCTAAATAGACAAATATATATATATATATATATATATATATATATATATATATATATATATATTGTCATCCACAGACGGACAGTTTCGCTGTATTACAGCTCATCATTGTGACTAGACGTTTGATTGCCTAGAACTAAGATTGAAACCCGGCTGAATTGGTGTCAGTCGGAGAATCTATCCCTAACCCGTTGGCGCACGCCAGGGAAGAAAGTGAATTTAAGCGTATTTATTTTTAGATAAACACTCCAGTGACTGAGAGAACTAGATTCATTTTATCGAAGAGCATTGCATTATTAGCAGCAATAGTCACTGTTTACAAACTCGCACTTCTTCCCCAGAGAGCTCAACCGAAATAATTTTATATATATATGGAAATGGACGAGGTCATATTTATATTTTATATATATATATATATATATATATATATATACAGGTCAAAAAAGTTTGGGGTCACACTGCATTTCTTAAAAACACCTTGAATGCGATATTTTTGTATTTTTTTTAGGTAAAAGATAAAATGTAATTACCGTCACTTTATTTTTATTGTTCAGTCTCTCTTCAGGCTCCTCTTACTACCAAAAAATTCGACTTTGGATTCGTTTTTATGGCGGTTTTATTGGCGAAAACAAAATATGACGCTGTTGTATGAGAATTTTTTAATGTTAATTGCTTATTTTTTTGTCAAAATAAAAGCAAATACACTGTAGTTAATGAAATTTTATCTCATACTTTTGAAGAATATAAAAATATCTCATGTAAGGTGTGTTTTTTTAAAAAATGAAGGCGGCCTCAAACTTTTGGATTAATGTGAGTAAAAGTTTGTCACTTAACTGATTCATGTTACCTTCAGCATCCCGACTCCAGAGTTTTATAGGCGGACCTTTCCGTCCACTCCTCATGTGGTATCCACAATTTACTGATATATATATATATATATATATAACAAAATATTGTTATACAAGATATTGTTAAACTGTATTTAACAATATCTCTCTATCTATTTCATTCAGATCATATCCATATGTCTTTCTTGGACGGGCGGTGAGAAAGTTCTTCTGCTTGAAGGGTATAAAGACATTGGTGTCACTACCACACAAAAAAGAGAATGTTTAACATCGAAAAACTTAAGGAAAATTAATTCATTTTAATAATATATGCAAATATCCACCTTTTGCCTGAAGAAGGTCGCTAAACCCGAAACCCGTGTTGCAAAACTATGGAAAGTAAACCATAACATATATTTTTTAAAAATCCACATCACAACCAAAAAACGTTTGCGGTTTCTCTCTCGCCTTTTTAATATATATATATATATATATATATATATATATATATATATATATATATATATATATATATATATATTTGTTTACTACTATCTATCTATCTTAGTTTTCTCAATATCTATTTCTTTCTGTTCATAACTTTCAATCACAGTCTGTTCATATATCCCTCTCTTTATTTGTTTGCAACTATCTATCTATCTATCTATCTATCTATCTATCTATCTATCTATCTATCTATCTATCTATTATTTTATCTCTTTCATACCTACTTTCATACCTATCTCAATTAGTTTCTACATCTTTTTATCTACCTTTCTCTGTCTCCATCCATCGATCCATTAATCGATCGACTGTTTCCTTGTACGACAACTTGGTTTTTACTCCATATATGGATATTTAAGATATCTGTTCGGTCGAAAATTGTATCAGATCAGATCAAATCAGCCACTTACGATGTGAGGCTTCATTGGGGCAACGATTAAAATGACCCGCTAACAATGTCTGCCTCTCGTCTTCAAAATACGCTCTGATATTTTGCAAATCGATTGATTTTTGGTATTGGTTTTTGCCAATGAACGATACCTTCTTAGGTATTTTAGTGCTATTTTGGTGCTATTTTTAGTGCTATTTTAGTGCTATTTTTAGGCTTAGTACTTTTACTTAAATTTAAATGTTGATTTTATTAGGTCACTTCAGAGGTGATCATTGAACCCAGAGATACCAGCTGTTCAAAAAATTTGGGCAACCCCCTATATATATATATATATATATATATATATATATATATATATAGGATTAATACAAATATAAAATTTGTCACTAAGCTGATTGATAATATATATATATATATGTATTAATCCTATATATATATATATATATATATATATATAAAATATGTGTTTGTGAAGGTGTGATATATATATATATATATATATATATATATATATATATATATATATATATATATATATTATCAATCAGCTTATTGACAAATTTTATATTTCTATCAATCCTATATATATTTATGTGTGTGTGTGTGTGAAGGTGTGATATATATATATATATATATATATATATATATATATATATCTGATATATATATATATATATATATATATATATATATATAGAGAGAGAGAGAGAGAGAGAGAGATGATATGTGTGTGTGAAGGTGATATATATATATATATATATATGTGTGTGTGTGTGTGTGTGTGTGTGTGAAGGTCTGATTTTATAAACAGTGGCTGCTACAGCTAATGCAATTCTCTTCTACTCGAACCGAGCTCTCCTACCTAGTGATTACTTTCGCATGGTAAAAACATTAAAATTTCCTTTTCTCTCCGCCGTGCGACGATGGCTTGTGGGTAGAATCGCTGACTGATGCGAAATTGGTCGGGTTTCGATCCCGGCTTGAAAAAAAACGGATGTCTAGTCCCACTGATGAGCTGTGAAACAGGCTGTCTGTGGATGAATTACAAAGGATAAATTAATAACTTTAGAATAACTATAACAAAACTATCACAACGGAATACAAATTTGATCGCAATTACAAGTTTGTCTTTGAAATTTACTCGTGAAAACGATCTTGGAAAAATTAATCAATTCCGGATTTCCATTCAAGAAGAACATCGTTCAATAACTCATAAAGCAGTGAATATTTTATTGCAATTTTCCACATCATACCTCTGTGAATTAAGATTTTCTGCACTTACCTCTATTAAATGGCTTAGATCTGAATAATAGATATTAAAAGCTTTGATGAGTAAATGAGGGTATGTTTATCACATGTAAGGCTTAACATTCAAAAAGTTGCCAAAGTTCAAGTTTCAAACAAGCATACTTAAACATACAATATAATGTCTTTAAAATAAATGCTAATTTTAAACCTCTTTTTACGATTTTCGAATTACCTGATTTAGACCCCTGAATTTGAGGTCCCAGGGTTTTACTATTTACCCATAGCTCCCGGGACCTACGCCATCTTAAAGTTTTCCAGAAGTGGAGTGACTATATCAGTCAATTGCTGGTCTGTTGCATGGAAGGTTTGTAAATGTCAATCAAAATGTTTTTTCTCGTCAGAATCTATCCTCCAAAAATCTAGATCAGAGGCCCAATACTGTCGGGCTGTTGTTCCTACTGTTCATCTCTAGATTCTTGACAAAATTCAGTCTTACAATCAAGACCAGGGATCTCGATTTACCGTTTATCTTCA